TTCATTTGGGTGTGAAAATGATGATATCGTATAAAGTCACGTTTGTTTTTCGTTGTTGTTGTTGTTTTTGTTCTAACTTTTCTTTCCTATTATTTTTTTTTCTTCACACATTATCTGGGTTTCATTTTGGCTCACAAAACACACACACACAAACATACATTGCACTATATAAATATATTGTGTTTTGTTTGAATGAGAAATGAAAAATTACCCTTCTGACATCTCGATGACTTGGCTTACTAAAATGGCTTGTACCAACTAAATAAACGATTCTTCTATCATCCGCTTTTAATATTGATACTGTTTCTGGTAAGTTATTTGGATCTAGATCATCATCATCATCACCATCATCATCATCATCATCATGATCATTTTTTTGTTTGTTGCCATCTTTCACTAATGTTGTTGATGATTGTTCAACTGGCAAATCATTCGGTTGATATGATGATGATGATGAGAATGACATTTGAGAAAAATCATTTTGTTCCAATGTTGTACCAACATCATGATCATCATATTCATCGTCATTTTTTATAGGCGTGAATGTATTATTCGGTTTAATGAGCATATGAAAATCTTTATTATTAGTAGTACTGGTGATTATATTGGTGGTCAAGTTATTTTTCATTTTCATTTGATCACCACCATCATCACTATTTTGTGACAAACTTGGCCATTCATTGTTGAATGAATTTGAATCTTGATTCATGATTTTGTTTTTTTTTCTTTCTTTTCTTGATGATATTTGAGATGTGACCAAAAAAAAAAAAAAACTGTGAAAACAATAATGAATAATGATGATGAATACAAAGAAGACGACGACGACAAAAAAAGTTTTTTTTTCAATGAATAAAAAATAAGATCATCAAATATAACCAAATGATGATGATTATAGTCGTGTGTGTTAGTTGGTTCTGTGTGGTACAAATTGATTGAAAATCTTGGACCTAACTAAAATCGAATATTATAAGAAACAAAAAAAACTTGAAGACAGTTTCTCGACAATGCGATGACGTTGGTGGATGATGATGATGATGAGAAACACTGATCATACACATCAGCAATAACGAATGAAAAAAAAGTTGAAAAACATTGACATGGCTGAATGAATGAATGCAATACACATGCATGCATGCATGGTTGCAAAAATAAACAGCTGGCCTGTTTTTTTTTTCGTTTTTTTTGTTTTGTTTGTGTGTGTGAGAAACATTTTGATTTACCACTGCCATTCATATATAACGGATCATAGTATTTTTTTTTTTTTTTTTCATTCTCCATTGAATTCAATAATAAAACATGAATGAATGTATAGTGATTTTTTTTTTTGTTTGTTTTGATTTTTCTTTACTTTTTTTTTTTTTTTGGATTAGCCAAATTCTGTGTTTAATCTGTGAATGAATGATCACGATTTTGATCCAGATGATAAAGATAAATGTAGATATATATAGAGAATTATTGATCCAAATTCAAATGCTGATAATTTAGTAAATTTTCCAATATAAATATCGATCGATCGATCGATCCAATATTAAATCGAATCATCATTCTATCATCAATACTGTATGTTCTATATATATATACACGATTTCGTTATTTTCTTCGGGATTTTCTTGTTATTGTTGTTGCCTTTGAAATTGAATTTTTTTTTTGGTTTTATTATTTGATGATCATTATTGGATTCGGCCAAACATTCCTTTTTATATATTTATTGTAGTCCGTAGTAGTATACTACTTTTTTGTTGTTGTTGTTGTTGTTTGTTTGTCATCATGATCGTCGTATATATAATTAAGTTAATTAAATTAAATTTATCTCTCTCTCTCTCTCGATGTATCGTCGAAAACAATTTGCTATTACACACACACCATGACAAAATAAACAAAAATGAATACCAGTGATTTGAGTCACACACACACACACACACACACACATGGCCATAAAATCGAATCAAATGGACCAATCAATTGGTGATTTTCCGTTTCGATCTCTCTCTCTCGTTCTTTTTCTCTTGGTGTTTCAAAAGTTCCACAAAGACACAATGTGTACTGATATTACACAATTAATCGTATGTGTGTGATTAGGTTATATTGAATCTCTGAATTCACTACACACGATTATATTATAATGAAACGAAGCAAAAAAAAAAAAAAAGAATCTATAAACATTGATTGGAAAAGAATTAGCCAGCCAGCCAGAAAAAAAATTAGGTCATCATAATCAAATTCTTTAAATGCAAAGCTGAACGTTTTTTTTTTTTTTTTTTTGTTGGAAACTTTGAATAATTCGATGGATGACAAAAAAATGATGATGAATTTTTTTTCTACTTCTTCTTTTGTTTCATCCTGTGTGTGTGTATCATGTCAATGGAAATCGATTTTTTTTTAGTTATCATAGTTAGTGAAGAATATATTTTGCCGACAAAAAAAAATGAGATTTTGGTTCCAATGGTTTTTTTTTCATATATATTCATATTATTATTATAAAAAAAAAAATAAAAACTTTGAATAGACACCCAAAACCGGGAAACTGTGTGTGTGTGTTTGTGTTTCTTTAGACAAAGTTTCCGTTTTGTTAAACAACATGATGATAAAGCTGAATTTGTTTTTTTTTGTTGGATGAGATTTTTCTGAAAAGAAAGAAAGAAAAAAATAGAGTAAAACGAAAACCTTCCGTCCTTTTTCCCTAATGATCAATGATGATGAGATGATTTGATTTGTTTGAATGTAATAATAATAATACACAAAGAGACACATCATATATGAATGAGCAATGATAAATCGAACATTTTTCGAATATAGTGTGGAACCAATAATAATAATAACAACAACAAAAAAAATTGATGATGATGATGATGAAACAACAATCCAGCTATCTAACATTTACCATGGTAAAATTGATGATGATAATAATAATATAGCGTAGAATTTATATATAATGAAAATTGTTGCAATAACAATTTAAATATAATGTGATGTTCAAATTTTTTTTTTTTTTTTTGAATCATAAAATCATGAAAGTGAATTGAAATACCGTCTTCCACCATTCACACCAATCATCATCATCATAATCATCGCCCATAGTTTGCCATTAAGACAATGCAATTACAGAAATTATATAATGAAGAATCATCGTTTGTTTTAAAATGTGAAACAATGAAAAATAAAAGTAAATCGTAATGCCGAATGAAATGAGTGAAGAGAAAAAAGAGTTAATCCCATGTTTCCCAATGGTAAATCTTATTCTTATTCTTTATTATATCATATTTTTTTCGAGTTTCTGGAACAATTTAAAAAATTACAATCATCATCATCATCATGAAAATTGGAAACAATTTCGGTTCCGTATACAGATAATAATGTACACTTTTTATTATTCGTTCATCATTTCAATTCGATTTTCATTTTCATTTTGGCTTGTTCATCATCAAACATTTTTTTTAATTTAATCTGTCTATGGTGTTTTGTTCATTTCATCGATGGACAACAACGATCGATCGATCGATCCATTACATTTAGTTAATTGTATATGATCATATATGTAGAACAATTCATTTAAATGCATCATTTTGATTGAGTGTCATTTGAAATGGTTAGTTGTAACATTTCAGATTAAATTTAAATTGACTTTGATTCACTATAAATGTAATCCATTCGATTCAACAAAAATAAATGGAATGGATGGATTGCAAATATATATTCTCTGTGTTTTATAACAACAACAACAACAACAGCATTCATCGGCATTCATTCGTAACAATCCAATAAGCTTTTATTCTGTGTGTTCGTGTGTGTATGGTAATAACGACAATGACGACGAAAATGAATGTAATTTAATCTTGAATGCAAAATTCTACTTTTTCTTCGTTCCATTTTCTCTCTATTTTGGCTACATCCATACCACCAAGTGAACCGAAATCATTGTTCCGAAATCAATTAAACGTTTTTTTGTCATTCTTGTTGTTGAATGAATGGATGAAATCCTGGAGCACATAATGTGACTATTTTTTTTTCTTTTTAAATCATTTCACAATTTTACCATTTTTATTCCATCTCTTCAAATCAGTTATTCTGTGCTGCATTTTTTTTCATTCTTCTTCTTGATTCCGGTTTGATGCACACCCGGGGAAAAAAATTGTTAACATTTTTATTATTTACATTATAAACATTGACAAACACCCTCTTTTTTTGTTCGATTGTGATTAATTCAGTGTTGTTGTTTTTTTTGGAATGATAATGTAACGATAGTTATGAATATATCATTTTGATTCAAATAATTAATTTATTATATCCATCAAAATTCGTTTTATCTATAGATTATAGCGTAAACATTGTTTACAATTGAAGAAAATGCTTGTGTGTATGAAATGATTTTGAATCAAATTGAAAAAAGTATTGATCTTTTTGAATCACAAACACTACCACCCTGTTTGAGAAAAATCAAACGAATCGAAAATTTTCGATTCCATTCACTTGTGCACATTATGTGTGTGTTATTATATTCAACTATTATCCATCTCCATAACGATCGTTTGAATCATTCGCAATTGCAGCCAAAAAAAAAAAAAAATACGTAATATTAGCATCTCCATCATCATCATCATCATCATCCGATTGAATGCGGCCATTTGAGAATTCAAAATCATTCATTCGATTTTTTTTCAGTGTTTACACCCCCAAAAAAAAAAAACATTGGTGGAGTGAAAACTTTTTTTTTTTTTTTTTTTTTTGTTTGTCAAATCATTGCTGGTTGAGAAACAAAAATTATTGATTTTTTTCTTGTTTGCAATTCAAATTATTATTATTTTTCAGTAGTATCAAAATTTGACACATCGTTCAAAAAAAAAAAAAAATAGCGTGATGAAAAAATGAGAGAGAGACGGCGATACACGCAGACCTCTTTTTTCATTTTTTTTTTTTTGCTTTTGAAACTAATTTATTTTTTTTTTTTCACGTTGTCCCTCTCTCCCAAAAAAAATTGATTGATTGATTGATTGATTGTATAGCTCATATCACATTATACAATATTTTCCGGTGGTCTTTGGTGTATGCTTGGCGATGGTTGTCCACGGCCACAAGAAATTATACGACAATATGCTGAACAAAGTAATGCACAGATATCATTGATACAACAACAGAATAATAATCATAACCATCATCATCATCATCATAGTACATCATCAATACCTTATCAGGTATCGAATCATCCAAATCATCTTGTATTGACTATTCATCGTCATGGAAATGATGATAATATTACATCATCATTTGATGATTTTAATAATAAATGTAAAACATGTTTGAAATTACAATTTCCAACACATCATCATCATAATCATAGATATCATAGACAACGTCGTGTTTCGACGCCAACGAATCTTAAATTAAAAGAATGGTTTACCACCATTAATCATAAATGGGCACGTATTAAACGACAAGTCATACTACATCATCAAAGACAACAGCCATTGATTAATGAAGACAATTATGGCACTAATGGTTAGTGATTTTTGTTTCTAAAATTTTTCATTTCAAAATGATTCATTTTTTTCTGTTTCATTTAGAAATGACCTGTTGTCATGTAAGCAAAGTACCGAAAAATGTTAAAACACGAAATCTGAAAGAATTATTGAATGGCCATAATGAACCATATCGATTTCCAGCAACAAATCTACATATACAATGTAAATGTCTTCCTAGTCAACGTTATTGTCTAATCAATGGTTATGGTACAACGACAACACGTTATCAACATCGTAAACAACAATTTGGCCGTTGGCATGAAGAACCGGCATTTGGTAGCCGTTATGCATTTGATAATGAAATAACATTCAATATGAATAGGCAAACAAATTCTGTAACAAATACACCAAGTGCAAAAACAAAATTAACCACTACTACGATGCAAAATGATATGAATTCAAATTCAAAATTAACACAACCAAATGATATTGATGATAATGGTGATGGCGTCAATGACGATGTTGATGATGATGATGATGATAATAGCAATAATCGAATAACCATGACCAATAATAATAATAATAATGATCAGAATCATCGTCATCATACAGCCCTTATAAAATCATCTTCAATCGATACCATAGCGGTAAGTTTTTGCTATTTTTTTTCCCGAAATTTTCTTCATTTTTTCCATTTTCCATGTTACATATCGATTCATTTGTTTTCACTGACAATCGAAATCATAGAAAAAAAAGAATCACATTTGAACACAAACACATTTATATACACGTGGCATTAACTTTGATGGTTTTACCAATCAATCAATTATGTGTATAGCATAAATGTCGAGAAAAAGAACATGAATGATTCGTTTGAATGTTTGTTTTTTTTCTCTTTCACAAATACACACACACACACACACACACACAAAGACTGATTGCTGATTTATTGTCCAAAGAAAAAAAAAGAAGATTCTTTTACAAAGCAGCAAGAATTTTTCGTTTTAGTTTCAGTTTCAACTTGAACGACAAAATATTTGCACGAATCTCTTGTTCACTCACTGTTTTTTTTGTGTGTGTGTTTTGTGGTTCCTGTGTATGGATATCGATAAGAATCAATAGAGTAGTATTTCCTTTCGGCAATTTGTCCAAAAAATAAATTCACATTTCACATTTTTTTTTGTTTTGTCCTCCAAGCTTCCAAACGGAATGCTATTCATACATACATAACATACATATTTGATTCGAATCACGTTCCATCATCATCATCATCATCATCATCATCGTCGAAAAAAAAGTTCAAGAAATCTAGAATGAGAGCATACACTATGTTTTTTTCTTTCCTGTCCTGTTTCTCTCTCTCTCTCTCTCTCTCTTTCAGTCTATATATATATGAATTGCAATGAAATTCGTGCACATCATCAACATTATGATGATATATATGATGTATATGATGTAAAAATCAAAATGAATCTTCATGTTTCAATAGTAGAATTCTGTTCAAAAATTCTGTTTCTTATCATCATCATCATCATATTCAGATTTAAATTGTTGTTATCTATGTGTGTGCAAAACAAAACAAAAAAAAAAAAAAGTTGAACTTGAATTTTTCAATTTTTTTTAGTTGTCATTTTTGAATGATTTTTTTTTGTTCGTTGAATTAAAATTGAAAAGTGAAAAGAGCAACAACAACAAAAAAAAATTGTCAAAATTTTGACAATTTTTTAAAGTTAGAATACGATTTTTTTCCTTTATATATAATGGCAAAAATAATCCCATTTGATTGGCGGCCAACAATCTTTGATTTGGCATATTGATATTCTGGAATAAAAATTTGACTTTGTTATTATTGATTGTGAACCTTAATTTTTTTTTTGTTTTGTTTTGTTTTGTTTCACCCATTTGTTCGTTTGTTTCAATTTGATTTTTCTAATTGTTACCAATGGATCATGATGATGATGATGATGCCTATGCTTTTTTCCAATGAATTGAGATGTTTTGTTCCGTTTTTGTTTCTCTTGTTTTCTGCTACAACAACATCATCATCATCATGTCATGAATTGAAGCTTTGTATATTGGAAACATTATTTGTTCAATCACGCTCAAACGAACATATCAAACATTATCAAATGAAAATGAATGTACACACACACACACACAGTGAAAGAATGAATGAAAGAAAGGCTGACAGCCTGATTGGAATTTTTTTGTTTTTTTTTTGTTTTCTTTCGTTTCCGTCGGCTTTTTTTTTCTCCAACGACATCAATCCAATCAAAGCTAAATTCAACCGCCAAAAAAAAAAATTGGCTATACAGAATACTTTTTCTTGTTTCTTTTTTTTTGTTCACTTGCCACATTTGCCAAACCATTTGTTTAGGTATCTTTTTTCCGTATTTTTTTTTTCTTTATTCATTCATGTTACTACGATGCTTAATAACTTGTCGCTTTTTTTTTATTTTAGGCCTTTTTTAATGATCCAATCGAAGAGATTCGTCGTCTACATTTTCGACCATCATTGGATCATCAAACGAATGATGTAACAACCACATCAACGATGGTCAAAATGATGAATGGATTCAATGGCAATAATAATCAATTTGATTCTGATTCGATGAATATTTCTCATTTTAATAATAATAATAATAATAATCAATCAACTAAACCATTATTACATCGTGCCAATTCATTTGATAATGATCATCATCAATGTCAATGTAATTGTTCAGATTGGCTACTGGATATTGATGATGATTTAAATGATCCATTTCAAAGTTTACCAGAAACTATTATGGCTAAAAATGATTGTATTATCAATCTATCAAATGATACAGCAATGAATGAATTACGAACAGTATTCAATCATGATCATCATCATCAGCAACAATCGTCGTTGACAAACGATTTTACATTATCTTCATCATCAAATAATAATAATAATAATCATTCAATTATGAATGGTGGAATGAATTTCATTCAAAATTCGAGCATGAATGGATTTCAATCTTTAAATAACAATATTATTGGCCATACAGCAACAAATTTAACACAACAACAACAATCAAAACAACTACAATTTAATAATCTTAACGGTCCACTTGTTTCAGGCGATTCATCGAATCATCATCATCATCATAATCATAATCATCGTGAATTAACAACAAAACAAGATAATAATAAAAAATAATAATAACGGTAAAAATTGTTCATCATTAAGCGGGACGACAAGTAGCGGAAGTAGTAGCAGCAGTATGAGTACAAATAGTAATAGTAGCGGTAGCGGCAGCAATGGCCGTTTTTGTAATCGATCTTTTGGTCCAACAACGGTACCATCATTGTCAACAACAACATCAATGATGATGATGACAAAATCACTTCAAAATACTGCTGCTAATGCTGTTCAGCAACATGATAACAGCAATGGTCACTTATCATTTCATTCTACTTCACTGAATCTTAATAATAATAATAATAATAATAATGATTTAATGGATTCGAACTTTTTCATTCTGAAGAATGATGAAGAAAATAAAAATAAAATTGATGAGATTAATCATCATTCAAGTTGTTCATCATCATCATCATCATCATCTTCATCATCGTCTTCAACAGCAGCAACAACAGCAACAATGACTACAGATATGGCGGCAAATGTATTAACATCATCCACCACTCATCCGCCATTATCATCATTATCGGCGTCTCAATGTAATGTTTCTACAGGAATAGCAGCAGCAGCAACAACAACAACAACAGCATTATCCACTAATATTAAGAACAATTCAATGCAATCAACTCCATTGTCAACAACAACGACATCATCATCATCAATGGCTACAACGATAATGTCAACAATTTTGAATCATCATCAAAATTGTCCACCTATAATTGATCTACTTAAAGAATTTGATGTTTGTTTTGATAATCATGATCAATTGGATGATGATAGTTCAACATTGACTGACAATTCTTCAACGGTAAGAACCATTTTCATTAATGGGCAATAAAAAAAATCCAATCCAATGATTTTAATGTAATGTTTCTAAAATTTCAACCATTTCTACTTTCATTGGATTTTATTTCACATTAATTTTTTTTTGTTCGTAAACATAGGCACAAAATGAAAATTAATGGCCAAAAATGTTGTCATCATCATCATATATTTAATTTTTCATTTCACATACGTCCTGTATCCAGATATATTATATATATAGGAAAATAGGAATTTCTTTTCTTCAATCGATTTATTTTAATTTTTTTTTTTTTTGCAGAAATTTTCAATTTTATCAACTTATAACTGGATTTTCATATTCCTCCTTTTTTTGATTGGATTTGATGGCATTTTCAATTATTTTCATTTTCAATTCATATATGAAAAAAAATGTCATCATCATCATTCTATTGATTTGCATAAATAGTTTTTTTTTTGTTTGTTTGGAAAAAAGTTTCAGTTTATCGAATATAAATAAATATAAATAATAATCTTAATCTTTTCATCATCATCATCATCATCATTATGAGTCAACTTGAATATAGATGTATTTAAGAATCCTGAAACTTTTTATTCTCTCTCTCTCATTCTGATTTGGCCATTTCAAAGTTTGCCAGTATCAGTATAGAATGATTATTATCAATCATCAAATGCATGTTTGTTCCAGATTTTTTTTTCTTCTTCTTCTTGCCAGATATCTATTTCTTTTTTTTGAAAAAAAGTCTGTTTTCATTCATTTCATGTATGGATGATGATGATGATGGCTGAAGAATTTCGGATTCTTTTTTCCATCCACACACACATTCTTTCCTATTTATTGTTGATGTTTCTTTTTTTCATCATTATTCTTACCGAAATAAATGAAGACCGAGTGAGAGAGAGAGATCTGGACTTTTTCGTGCGTGTGTGTGTGTGTGTGTGTGTGTTTGTGAGATATGTGAAACTAATAAATTGACATGATACCCATATGATGATGATGATGATGATCGGATCTGAACTTTTTTTTTTTTTTTTTTGCACAACGATGTCGATGATATTGATGCCGGATTTTTTTTCATACTTCAATTATTTACTATATATAGATTTTTTTGTTCACTGTTGAAAACACATCGGCAACTGTACTGTACTGTACTGTATGAATTCAATTCAATTCAATTTATATTCATATTCGTTATTATTATTGTTTTCACAATTGAATTGGCAGTCATAATATTTTTTTTTTGCTTTTTGTTTTTGCCGATCGTTATCGTTTTAATCTTGTCATGAATTTTCAAAATCAAAATACAACAACAACAACAACAGGCACAGATTGTGTGCATAATAATAAATTCACATATCCAGTATTTTTGTTTTTATGTATCTTGAAACATTTCATTTCATTTCGAATGTCCATCATGTACAGTATATAAACATTTTTTTTGGATAAATAATTGCAGACTTCTGTTTGGTATACAACATAGCCATAGCCATAGACACATTGATATTGAATTCAAATTCAAACCCGGAACCGAACACTGGTCAATGATATTGGTTGGTCCCGATTATTTTCTTTTTTTCTTTTTTTTATTGATTTTTTTTCTGTCCATTTCTCCAAGAAAGAAAGGCGGAATTTGAAATATTTCAGAAAAAAACATAGTCGAATGAACACATTGGTTGACATTGGTTTGTTTGTTTGTTTGGAGATACAGCCTATGATGTCCACCAATTATTGATAGAATTTTTATGCTAATGCAATTGAAGTTTTGATTATTTTTTTTCCCTTATATTCATTCAACAAAACTACCCTTCTGGTCAGTTTTTTTGGTTACATTTTTTTTTTTTGTTGCCATCCACATAATCCCAAAGTGTTTTTTTTTCACGAAGAAATTCTAAGTTCAAACTTGAAACAGGAAAAAAAACTTGACCAAATCGATCAACAAAAAAAAATTCACCAGAAAAATATTAAAACTTTTTTGTTGTTGTTCAAAGAATATCCATCATGGCAATGGAACGAGAAAAAAAATTTTTAAATTATAGCCTTGATCAACGAAAAAAAACTTTCGGACAATTCGGGTTATTCAATTGAAATAAAAAAAATGTCCCATCATTAGTCACATCTTCTGACGGAAGACAAACATCTCTTCAAGATTCATTAGTGGTCATTTTTATTGCCATTTTTTTGCAGTTATATACACCGAATTTCTGGTTTTCTGTTTCTTCTTCTTCTTCTTCTTGGTGATAATCTCAAGTGTCACACACACACACACACAGTAGACATGTCAAGAGGATTTTCTTTCTTTTCAAGATTTCAGATTGTCATTTCTTGACGTTTGATTATTATTATAATCATTAAACCGGTACCGATCGATCTATGTTTCAGTTATCGTTTGTGGCCAGAAGAACAATTTTTTTTCTTGTCTTAAATCTTGTTGGTTGGTTGGAACAATGTCAACATTTAGTCCGGGTTTGGTCCCTTGTTGTTCAAATCAAAATTGAAGTTTTTTTTTCATTTCTATTTTCAATTTTGTTTTTGTTTGTTGGCAGGAATTTCAATACCAGAAAAAAGAGAAAAAAAAATGTCAACTGTGGTGACGTGTCTTTTTTTTTGGAATTCCTGATTTTTTTTCTGCCTGCCACTCATTCTTGATTTGGAATTCTGATTCATTTTCTGTGCAATTTGTGCAAAATGTCGCTACTGTTTAATTTTCATTTCTCATTGTCTCTGGATTTTTCTTTTTCTTTTTCTGTTCCAAATTGCTTTACCATTGCCATTTATTTTTGTTCCACAGATAAGAAATACATCAGTTTTTTCTTCATAAAGGAAACATTCTGGCCACTACTAAGGTATTCGTTTTTTTTTGTTCGTTGTTGTTGCTTGATTGTTCACTGAGTTTTTGAATTTCCGGACATACATACATCATCATTAACAGAATCGCTGGTTTTTTTTTCGTTTGAAAAATTATTATCGGTATTCGGAAATTTTCAACTTTGAATTTATCATTTTACGACCAAAAAAAAAAAAAACTATTGTGTTAGTGTGTGTGTGTGTGTGTGTGTGTATGGAAAAAAGTTATCAAACAAACAAAAAATGGCAAATGAAATGCATTATTTGCTTGTACATATTTGTGAACATTTGTCATGTGTTTTTGTTTTCTTTTTTTTTGCCATTTTGAAACTTTTAATTCTAAATAAGTTTTGAAATAATTCTTACCATTAATTCATTCATTCATTTATATTCTGGTGTTTTTTTTCTCTCTCGAATAGCATTCATCAAATTCTCCACCAAAACAAAATGTCCATAACGAAACAATGATAATGATGGCAAATTGTAGTAAGAATATTTCAGCAACAACAACAACAACATCATCATCATCAATCTTACATACAAATGATTCAAATTCTTTTCAACAACAACAACAACAACAAAAACATAAATCATATCATCATATATCATCATCATCATTACCTCCACCAACTATTTCGCCACCACCACCACCGCAGCCGCCTTTATCTTGTTGTATTGAAACACCAGTATGGCCTAATAATATCATTATTGGTGAATCATTATCATTATCATCATCATCATCAATGAATCCTTCCAATATTCATTTGTCATGTAGCAGCCAACAAGTGCCCTTGGGTGATAATAATAATAATAAGCAAGAAACCACTAATGAAACTGCCACTAATCAACAATGCCTTAAAGACATTGAATTAAGTATGTATATACTTTTAATAGAAAATCTTAATTCTTATTCTCTATTCAATCTAGTATGCTTGAATGAAGTGATTGAAGAGGTTCAAGAAACGATACAAAAATGTAAACGTGGTCCAATTTGTTTTGATCCACGATGTATAACATTAAAACGAAGAATTGGAAATGGATATTTTGGTGATGTTTTTCTGGCCACCATTCCTTCATTACATGGTTCATCGAATATAAATTTAGCTGTTAAAATGCTTAAAAGTCATGCTGTACCGCAGCAAAAGGTAAAAAGTAGATTGATAATTTGTAATTTTTTGTAATTGTAGCTAATTGTATTTTTTCTGTTTTTTATAAAGGCTGAAATACTTCGTGAAGCACAAACAATGGCTAAACTTGATCATCGACATATTGTTCGGTTAATTGGTGTATGTGAAAATGATCCATTCATGTTGGTCATGGAATTAGCGCCATTAGGACCATTGAATAAATATCTACAAAATCATGGCCAAAATTTGACCGATATGGACATTTTACGTTTAATGCTTCAGGTTGCAAAAGCAATGCAATATCTTGAAGATGTGAATTATGTACATAGAGATTTGGCCGCTCGTAATATTCTATTGGTTAATGAAAAATTTGCCAAAGTAAGCGATTTTGGTATGTCACGTGCCCTTGGCCAAGGTAAAGATTATTATAAAGCTCGTTCGGCATCGAAATGGCCACTCAAATGGTATGCACCTGAATGCATCTATTATTATAAATTCAGTTCAAAATCGGATGTATGGAGTTTTGGAGTAGCATTATGGGAAGCAATGTCTCGAGGTGAAATGCCTTATCAGGTATGTATTTGACTTTTTTTATTATTATTCCATTGATTGTCTTACATACATGAAGAATATACTTGTGCTTGTTATTTTGCCAATTCTACCGGAAAAAAATACAATTTTCATTATGTTCATTCATTCTTTTTTTTTATTTCATTTTTTTTTTTTTCGAATATTTATCCTCTTAGGGCATGGACGGCCAGGACATACTACGAATGTTCAATGAAAATCGACGACTGCCTAAACCAGAGAATTGTTCTGTCATCATCTATCAAATAATGTGGAGTTGTTGGCAATTTAAGTAAGTTTTTTTTTTCTCTGAACAATAAAAAAAAAACCAGAAGAGAAATATATAAAAAAAAGAAAAGAAAAGAAAATAAGGAAAAAAAATTTAAATTTTAAATTTGATTTTTTTTCCTTCATTTTTTTTTATTTCTTTCTTGAACTCTTGTATGTCTACACATCTTTTTCCGCTGAAGAATCATATCTGTAGAACTAGAGAAAAAAATGAAAAAAAAACTTTACACAAGTCTTGCGTAATGAAATTATCAAAATGTATATGATGACGATGATGATGATGAATACTTGCAGCAACATATAATCAAAATTCAAAATGATTTTGCTGTCGAAATATTCCATACAGAATGTTTTTTTTTCTCCTTTTTGGTCGGCCTGTTGTTTTTATAAATGGTTCATATGTTTAGCAATCCCATCACCACCACCACCACCATCATCATCATCATCATTGAATGAATATCTAGAATTTATCAATGACAACAGTTGTATACCATTAATGGGTGTGGTAGGAAAGCAAAATGTAAAGAGAAAAAGAGATGGGGATCTTGAATCAATTCTTTTCACCATATTATATGGGCAATATATATTCAATACGATGGTATAGAGTTTGTCCGTTTTCTAATTTTGAACTACAAAAAAAAAGAATTCATTGCAGAAAATTTTGACATTTTTTTCCCTCTTGTTCTTCTGTATTATTTGCTGAATTAAAATCCATTTCCATTCCATATTCTTTCCATATAGACGCAGACAAATAGCATGGAATAAATTTACTTTTGAAATCCATAATCGATTGCATATATATATATAAATCTAATAGGCACGATTCGCCAATAATTTCAAGCATGAATTCTTCGATAGCAACAACAAAAAAATACTGAATTTTAATTTTTTTTTTTTCTCGATTCTCAGCAATAAAAACATAAAAACATAACAAAAAACAAAAACAAAAATATTCCAATGGGTCAAGCAAGTACAGCTGTATTTTGCTGCTTTTTTCGTGAATCAAATTTTCATTTATTTATTTATAGCAATATTTTCCAATCCAATTTGTGGCTTCTGTGTGTTTGTTTGCAAATTTGGACCAAAAATAAAAATAAAAAATGATTTCAAGTCCCCAAACACGAGAAAACGTTCTCGACGTCATCATCAGCCAAACTTTTTGCAACCCTGATTGCTCTGATTTCTTTGGAGATTTTTTTTTTTTAAACTTTTCTCATTTAATTTCGTTCATTAAATATCATAACTTGTTGATTGGATTCTAATTTTTGTTTTTTTCTCATCACACATATTTTAGGCCAGAAGATCGGTTAAACTTTGCCAATATTGTCGATCAATTGATGCATTATCTGGATGGAAAATGAAAATCCGAGATTGCCTTTCGTTTCGTTTCGTTTTTTTTGTTAACTCATTTATTATTCATTATTATTATTATTATTATTATTATTATTATTATTATTATTATTATTATTATTATTATTATTTATTGTAATAATCACTGTTCTTGTAATTTTTGACAACAAAAATTCTCAATTCAAATTCAATCATCAAAAACTTTTATTTCGTCTATTTTTAACCATCTGATTGATAAACATGCTGCCATCTATTGATAACAAAAATAAAACCTAGCATCTTTTATGACTTGTTCTAAATGATGATTTTCAAAAAGACAAACTGAGAAAGCGCTTCATTATTATTATTGTGAATTTCAAACGAAAATTTTACATTTCATGTTGCTATTCATTGCCAATGATGAACGATGAGGAATGAACAATGAAAATTTGAATTGAATTTCGCAAAAAATTTTCAACTTTTCTACATGAATTTTAACATTATTCGAGGTTATGTGCTCCCATCTAGTGGCATAAAAACTAAAATGAGAGAAAAAAACTTGGTAGTTCTGGGAATATTAAAGGTAAAAAATCAAAACTATCAACTATGATTTGTGGTAATTTAATATTTTGAAAACTAAAAAATAAAATATTTTCGTCCTTATTATTCAAATTAATCGTTTGTGCGGCAACGATGATTTCGAGTGCGTTTTGTCCGTAACCGATGTTCTTTTTTGTCGTTCCCAATTTTTATCATCCGATCGTAAATGATCCAATTCGTCCAATAAAGTTTCATATCGATATGAAACACGAATTCCAGGCAAATTGGTCCGTTGTATATCGTTTCCTTCCACACCTTCACGATGATAATTAGCTCCGATCCAATGTTGTTTGAACTCAGCAGGAAAACCAGACATTAATACCGAATTACGTGCCAATTCGCTCATATCACAGCTACTTAATTTCCACACTTGTGTGGCAATCGAATATTCTTCCATTAAAGGTTCCTATAATCGTTTTATTAGAATCTAGTTCCATTTGAAATATAAATCAATATACCTTTGTAAAATGAAATTGCAACGGATCATCAGTCGAAAGCGATACACAAAGGCCACGAGAAGCGAATTCCGGCAATGGATTTCGATGATAATTCAAAAACAATGAATTGTTAGACAATGGTGACATGGCGATTCCAATTTGAGTCAAATAGTACAGGTATTGTAAAACGGGTACTTTTCGAAGCAAAAGACCATGGCTAATATTTTCGGCCAACAAAAATCCACCGATCAAATGTTGAATATTGCCAGCTTCGCCACAATGTGGCCGCAAAACTAATGTATTGAATCCACGTTCTTTGCGGAAATGATTCAAAATGACCATATTGGCATACATGTAATATAGATAGTAATTGCTATGGATATTAAAATCAATCATTAGATTGAAATTCAATTTTAAAAAAAAATTATCAAAATCATACTATGGTGGATTCTCTTCATCGGACCATTTGTTTGGTAACGTAATTTCTTTATCAAACATTGGATTCTCGTGTTTTGATTCATCATCGACCGAATCGAATCCAGTTACATAATGTAAAAAGACATGCAATTCTGGATGAGAATTTGGATTGTTCGTCACTTCAAACAGCGGCATGAATATATTCTCCAACATTTGTTCGAAATTTTCAAGAATCTTGTTTGCTCGATATACATCACTAATAGTTCACATATGAATTATTTATATTTATAATGAAAAGTGAGATTTATCGAAATTATATCACAACTTACTATAAACGAGGAATTTGAATTATCCATCGAACAGTGTCGGAATAAACATTGTTTGTGAGTGCCCATTTGGCTAAATCATCCCATTCGCTTGGTTTTCGACCATAAATTGACAAACGTAATTCAGCCTGTTGATATTTGGATTCTTCTAGATCATTCATTACTTCTTTAAGAATTTCGGCAAAATAAACACCTTTGATATAATTGTCGGTTTTAAGAAAAATTTCTCTTAATCTTGATTCACCAATAGGATTATATTTGGCATTGAATTTATCGAAACGATGAAATGTATTACGATCGGCGTGTACATCCAACATATCGACACTTAGATCATAGCTTGTTAAATTCAATGAATCAAACACTTGTTCCAATGTTAATGGTTTACCATTCTCAAGGCAAACATAATCATTTCGTCGTGTTTTGATCGTTTTTTTAATGAAACGTAACAAATGTTTTTGATTCATACAAGAAGCGGCATGAATGTGCGTATCAACTTTACGTGTATTATAAAAATCTCTATGCGGTACGGCTTTCTGTGATCGTAATTCATTCATTTCATTAAGAAGAACATGTAGCTGATATTTATATGTAAGATAGGCTAATCGTTTGTAACAATGTGATTTCAATGGGCCATCGGTAATAATATTGCACATGAATTTCATATCTTCAATAAAATTATTGAATGGCCGTAAATTATAAGCTCCTGAAACCGAAAATTTCAAAGTTAAAACATTATGAAATTGAATAACGAAAAAAAATAAAAATTCTTACGCTTTTTTCCTTCAAAATCTTCTTTAGTCTTATAGACATGAATGACACCATCTTCTATTTTTAGTATACAATTTAAATCTTCGGGAATCTTAATGTTCCAAGGATCGGCAATGACAGGCGGTTCATCATAATTAACTTAATTTAATGAATACAAATAATAATGATGATAAAAACAATGATGATCCAAAATATCGAAAAACAATTCATACCGGTTTCCGGTTGATAACTTGATTTATGTGTTCGATGTAAAATACGTTTAGCCATCTCTGGAAATGTTTGAAATGCCTCTTGCATGTAGATTTCTCTTAAACGCATTGCTCTTCGTAATGATTGATATATTTTTGGATCTTCAGCCTATGATTCGATTTTTTATCATTATCATCATGACTAATAATTCAAATGATAATGATTTATAGACTTACACCGAATGAATATTCACCAGAAATATAAACACGTTGAAAATCCAATTGATTTAGAATAGACGATGTCGTTTGACCAGCTAAACACGCAGTTGGATCAATCGATTCTGCATGTTGAATACGTTGTATACCAGCATTCGATATACCTGAATGAATATAGAATATGGAAAGACAAAATCATTTGAGTGGCGGGAAAATTTTTTTTATTATTATTATTTCAAAATTATGATTAATAACTCACTTTCTTCATCATGTATTGCACGTTCTTCCAATTCTTTTAATGCAATTTGTTGTGCCAATTGTTGGGCGGCAATTTTTTTCTGTTCTTCCAATTCGATTGGATAATGTGGCACAGTGTATGGTGCCGAAATTTCTTTAACACTTAATTCACTATGATTAGATATATCTCTTGGTATTTTTGATGCAGTTGCAGCAGCCACTTCATCATCTTCTTCAATTTCATCGTCATCTAAAACCGATGCTTTCATGAGGATTTCATTTTCTTTTTTCAAATCAGAACCTCTTACTAATCGTTCCATATCTTGTAAATCAAATGGAAATCAAAATATAAAAAAAATTGCTTTATCTATTAATAAAAATCCATTGATTAGTTCAAAACTTGAATCGATTGATATTGACAATATCTAGCCATAGACATTCTCCTATCATATTTCAACACCGTATTACGTTCAATCATTTTTTTAAGCAAAAAAAAACGTTATTTTTATCCAAAATAAACAGTGGAAAAAACTATTCAAGATACTCGAAAGCGACATGTCGAAAAACAATGATGACTTACCAATGACCGCCAAATGTGAATAACAAAAAAACGATTTAAATAATGATGATCTAGATTCGGTTTACCAGGATAACTGACGATGATTATGGTGCACTGGACAAGCTCTCAACAATTGCGGAAATAAAATGTTGATAATACAATCGAATGAAAAAATTTAAAACAGCCCGAAAATCAATTGAAATCAAAATCGGGCTCAATCAATCAGTCCAGAATGATGGTATATATTGTAGAATCACTTAAAATTCATCACTCAAAACTTGTCAATGTGTGGTAAACTTAAACATTGAAATGATGATGATGAAAAAACAAAAACAAATTTACACTTTGTTCGATGTTATGAATTTTTTTCTCTCTCTCGTTATACTTTGGTTCATACATATAATATATACAGATTGGTTATATTGCTATTTGGTATATTATATATTGATGAATGAATGAATGAATGAATGATTGTATTCAGCATATAGTTGTGATTGTGTTGGTTGTTTTGGGAAATAAAAATCACTGAGGCAGTGGCAATGTGTATATCATCATGCCACATTTATTTTTTTTCTTTTTATTTTGCGTTACAAATTCAGCGCATACTCCGATATCAAATGCAGATTGTGAAAAATTTTATTCAAAAAGCAAAAAACAACAAAATTCTGATAATCGGAAAGAATAATGCTTGAATTCAATATCTTAAAGCTGGCAATCGGAATTCGGATTCAGCAAAATACGTTTTAAGTCATCATCAAATGCACAGGAATTCATAATTATCCACGGCACGGTAATGTCACCATTGAATTTATAAAGATTTCCTTCGTAATACTAAAAATAAAGATAAAATTCCGTACATTATTAACGTATAAATATGCTGCACACGAAAATGTCATAATTCAACTTACGAAAAAATGAAATGTGAGAATCTTTTCCATCACATTGAAGACCTTTTTGGATTGGAATAGTTGGATCGTTTTGTACCCAAATTACCATTTTATCGATATAAATTCTAATCCATTGGTTTATGATTCGAAATAATTCCGTATCCAAACAAAAATGAAAATGTTAAACATCGAGATCCAAATTAAACAATCCGAAACTTTTGTTTTACACGATTACCACCCGCAGTAATTGCTATTTTTAGCGACTTTTGTGTGTATATAGTCGGAGTATATCGAAAATGCGAGTACTCGCAAAACTCGATATTCGACTATATACACTCTCAAATAATCCGCACCAAAAATAACCGAGAATACTCGCCAAAATCGCATGAAATACTCTGCACTGCTGCTTTCTGTGATTTGGTTAGAGTATATTATTATATATTGATGAATGAATGAATGAATGATAGTGATGATGATTATATTCAGCATATAGTTGTGATTGTGTTAGTTGTTGTTTTTTGGGGAAATAAAAATCCACTGAGGCAGGTAGCAATGTTGTACATCATCATGCCACATTTATTTTTATTTTGGAATTTAAAACTCAGCGCATGCCTCCGATATCAAATACCAGATCTTGGATATGTAGAATGATTGAAACAAAAAAATATGTATAACCATTGCCAAAATGTACTCATGATGATGATGATGATGTTGTCTGGATGTGAATGATTATCATGGATGTATGGAGGCATGATGTAGCCATGAATAAAATACATATATCATCAACATCGTTAATCATCAATTTTTTTTAGATGGAAAGTGATCAAAATCAAATCGAATGATGATTGGAATTTTCAAAATATTTATTTTAGATTGATTAATGTTATTCGATATTTTAGAGATGATTGATTGATTATTGTATATATCGATATGATGATAATCAATGTTTTACGTGATTGTAAAATTACAACAACGCTACCAACAATCGAATCGAATGGAAAATTTTTTTTTTTTTAATCATTGTATATTTACAGAAAAAAAACAAACAAAAAAATAACTAAATATATCAATTTAACCAACTAAATTAGAACACAGATAATATTGATTGGATGAATTTTTGTATTTTTTTCTTCTTCTTTCATAAATATTGTTGTTTAATCTGTTCGATTTCATTCAAATTAAACATGCCACGATGTTTTTCCGTTTGTCCTAATAATAAAAATGGCCGCTGTCCTTGATTATTAGCTTTAAATTCTTTAACAATTGGACGAATAAATGTATTGGAAAATCCTAATGCAGACATTTTTCTACGTCCTTTCAATGTTAGACTACGAAATGCTGACCATGTTTGATTTGCCGATGCAATACATAAAATATGTCGTTTTTTATGATAATAAATAAGGCCTGGTATATGTTCATAGTGTCCATGTCCAGCCAAAATGGATATATTCAAACGATTCACAAGATCTGGATCAAGTATATCACCCAATCGTAATGGTGTACCATCAATCCAATAGGTAAAAACATCAATAGTACCATTGAATGCACGAAAACGTCGATCAATTTCATATGCATTCATACGTGTCCAATCGATTTCACCATCCGTAATTTTTATTTTTCGAGCTAATACACACAAGTTTGTTTGTCAAATGAGATGAAATGATTTGTGAATGAAATTAAGAAAAAAACTTACCATGTGTAACTTCTTCTTTGGATTGTTTTCGAACGTTGGCTAGACAATTGTCTAAATCTTCAATACAATCCCAAAGCTAACGGAAAAAAAATCAATAAGATAAACCAAATAAAAATCATCGAAAATTGAACTCACCAGTTGAGCTCCTATTGGTGCCATTAATTGTTTCAATTGTACGGCCGAAATACGATGTACAATTTCGATTGGTTTTTGTGCCAAAATCTCACCAACATCAAATCTGTCAGAAACAAAAATGTTTTCTGGTCAAAAAAAAATAATCATTAATCGCATGTAAACAATACCTATTTGGATGAATTTTCATTATGGTTACACCGGTGATTGTATCACCATTCAATATGGCATGTTGAATTGGAGATGCTCCACGCCATCGTGGCAATAATGAACCATGAATATTGAACATACCTGTATAAATTAATGTAATTCAAAATAAATATAGAATGTCAGAACTACAACAATAAAACAAATATATACCATAATGACAAGCATTGATAGCCTGTGAAGGTATAAGGCGACCGAATGAAGAAACAACACCAAGATCAAATTGATCATTTGGTACCGTATATCCATCAAACAGGATGATTGGTAGATCAACTTTTTTACAATATAAACTAACAGGATTATTACATTTAGTGGTGACTACTTGAATATTTTTTACAATAACCATTGAATCCAATTCAGGATTTAATAGTTTTTTATGTAATAATTTAAGACTAGCTATACTAAAATCATCAGAACCATAGAATAATATGGACAGTGATTTTTGTTTTTCATATGATGATGATAAAAATGTTTTCGAAACGACCAAAATGTTAGCTGCTGAAAGCCATTTCATTCGATTCATCAATGATAATAACAATGTTGATCTCATGCTTCATCATTTGAAATCAGTTGTTGTTCATTCTAATACAAAAAAAAAAAAAATATAAAGATAACCAATCTAATTATCATCAGGTATAATAAAGATTACTAATACTTACAATATAATGCCATAACTTCAAAAAAAAATAAAACCTGATGATCATGAGAATCCAAGTCACATGTAAAAAAAAAAAAAAAAAATTTTTCATTTATATTCAAAACAACATTGAAATGAGTTTATTCATAAATATCGTATTTTTTTAAATAAAAATAAATTCTTTTGAAGAATCTGAAAATCAAAACATTTTTTGACCTGTAAAATATTTTTATATATACTGCATATTTATTCATTATCATTTCATCGAATATCCATATATGGTTGTTGTGGCAATTTTTCATCCATAGTAACCAAACGTATCCATCATGATCATATAAATCAAAACCAAAACCAAACCAAACCAAACCAAGATGGATTAATCGCCAATCGACAATGATAATATTGGAATATACGAGATTCAAAAAAAAATTCAACAATTTTTTGTTGTTGTTGTTGTTGTTTTTCTTTGATATATAAACAACAACGTTTCTAGGGATTCATAATAAACAAGATATACATATCTATTGATTTGGATGTCCTGTTTTGTTTTGTATTTTTTGGATTATATATTTCTTTCTACCATCAAACACATTTGTGGATTTTCATTTTCATTTTGTTTCTTTTTTTTTATCAATATTTTTTTTCTGGCCAATGACAAATACTAAATCTGCCAAAATAAATTTCCTGCCATTATTTTTTTTTGTTTTGTTTTGTTTTGTTTCCAAGAATGTGTCGATAATGTGTTTTTGAATGGATACACACACACACACAAACACACACTTGTGGTGACATTGAATTTTTTTGTTTTTTTTTTTGTTGTTCATTTTAAACAAATCATTTTGAATGTTTTGATATTGAACTTGAAATTTATTATATTACTATGTGGCCATCAAATTTATATATTCAAATTATCAGATAAACATAAATTGCATCGAATCGAATATTAATGTTGATGATGATGATTATATTATTATATTCTGCACTTGATTCACATTCAGAATTCTATAGAAAGAAAATAGAATATCCAAGAATGATTGCAATATTTGAATAATAATTATTGCAAATGGATCAAAAAAAAAAAAAAACAAGTACACACACACACAAAAAACAACAACAACAACCAAATGGTAAATGTTGTTGTTGTTGGAACGAAAATTTTTTCATTTCAATTTAAGGTCATATCTTATCCATTCAATTTTATTTTGATTAATCATTTCTTAATAATAATACAATGAGAGAGAGAAAAAAAATATTGAAATGCAAATAGTAAATATTCATATTTTAAATACAACTTGTTGATTGATTATTGATGATGATGATGATGTGAATAAAAAAAACGGAAAAGATTACCTTGAATCGAATCAAGGTGACAATGGTGATTTTTTTTCGTTTGCTGTTGTTCTACCATTGTCATCATCCAAAATCATCATCATCATCATTATTCACACTCACAACGAGCGTTTCATCATCACATGTTTTGTTTGTTTGTTCAATATATAACAGTTTTTTTTCGCTGTTACCTTTTTTTTGATTATAAATCGAATTAAATCATTTGTTCGTTGTAAACAAATTAATTTTTTTTTCTGGACTATATGAACGTAAAATGAACGCTTCAAGGATCAAAATTATATATGGGTTTTCCTTTATTTTCAGGTTAATTAAAAAACGTTAAAAATGAAAACATTTGATTGATCGAATTGATCGATCAAATGTTTTCATTTTTATATGGAAACGTCATATTGATTGATTAAATATGTGGACAACAATAGCTGGAATAATTTTTTTTTTGTTCAACAAATATGGATTGATCATCAATAATAATAATAATAATAATGTTCCACAATGATATCGATCTCATATGACAACTGAACAGAAATAAATGTACAAACGATCCAAGGGGATTTGATCAAGGAAGAAATTGTTTTTACAAAACACATCACTACTAACACAAACACATTTGCCACCATTGCAATGAACTTGACTTTGAAATTATTTATTTATGATTATTAAAAGTAATGTATTGATATTACTTTTTTTCAAATCATTCATTTATTCATTCATTCATCCAATGGTTGGCTGAATTTTTTTTCCTGTTTTTTATTTATTCATTCCATCTGTGTGTGTGTGTATGTTAAGGTTCAATATCAATTCAATAAATGTAAAATTTAAATTTTTTCTCGATGAATGACTAAATTAAGCTGTTGGCCTTCAGCCACCACCACCACCACCACCATCATTATTATTATTATCATTATCAACATAACAATAATCATCAACCGACGCCAATCTACCGTTTGTGTGTGTGTGTGTGTGTGTGTTTGTGTGGAAGGATGCAAAAAACAACAACAACAACAAAATGACAAATACAATAACTCTTTGTGTGTGTGTGTGTGTGTGGTTAGTATATTTTCTCTTTATTATGAATAAAGAAAAAAAAATATAAAGAGTTCCAATAGACGTTCCGTTGTAAATAAACAACAACAACAACAAACGATATTGGAAACAACAACAAAAAAGACACAACAATGAGGCAATTTTTGCGAAGGAAAAAAAAAATCCAAACACACAAATTGCCTTCACCTTCGCCTTGGAATAACAACAACAACAACAACAACAACGACGACGACGACAATTGAAAAAAAAAAAAAAAAATTGAATCAAAAACAAAATGCTGGTAAATCAAATCATTTGTTGATAATTCACTGTAAAAGTACAAATTAGGTATGAAATGATCAAAAAAAAAACGAAAGGATCTTTGAGCTTTCAAAATGTGGCGACAAAAAAAAAATACATTCAACATTCGTGGATGATTTTTCATGTCCGATCATACGTTCATCGTTCGTTTTTTTTCTATTTTATTTTATCATCATCATCAATTTTTATTTCCATTGGATATCATCATATCAATTTTGTGGTATTCTCAATGTAGAAAAAAAAACAAATGAATTGCTCATCCAGGACTAGCTCACCCATGACGTTTGTTGTTGTTGTTGTTGTTGTTGTTGTACTTTATTATCCACTATCATTCATTGGAAAAAAAATAAAAAACAAAATAAAACAAAAAAAATGTTTGGGCTCAAAGATCGATAATAATAATATGATGTTTTGTGCCTATAGTCGATAAATAATCAATATGATGATCAGGAGATTTTTTTTTCCGCCACAAAAATATATTTACATTCATTAACATCTTTTTTTTTGATTTTTTGATTGGATTTTGTCATCAATCATTGTGCAAAAAAAAATAGTACATTTTTATACAGATTCATCACGAGATTCGAGATTCATTCGTTCGTTCATCTGATTTGATCATTGGAATTTTTTTTTACCACTTTTTAATTAGACATTTCGTAGACAGTAAAATTGATTTTATGCCATTGATTCTATGCTATTTTCATGATGTTCAAATCGAAATTTTTCAATAATAAAAAGGGGACAATGTTGTCAGTGAGTTTTCTTCTTCTTTTTTTTTTGCTTAAAAAAACGTACCATTTACACAATATCATCAACATAATCACCATCATCAACCTAAATTGATGAATGATGATGATGATGATGATGATATTGTATGTCGACGTAAACGGATTTTCTTTCGGATGAATATAATTCACTGAAGAAGAAGAAAAAAGAAAAAAAAAAAAAAAAAACTACGACGAATTCAAAGTCGATTCGATGCCAAACATCTTTGTGTGTGTGTGTGTGTGTGTGTGTGCGATACATTTGATCAATGTCTGATAAAACGAGTATATTTTTTTTATTCATTTCTCTTGATATTTAGCCAAAACAACAACGATGGCTTCTATACGACAAACCGAAAATCGTGAAAACTAAATCGATGACGATAATTATGTGTCCATGACACATGTAATTTTTTTTTCTTTCTCTCATAAGTAATCGATATCTTGTTCGAGTCGAATTGAATGAGTGGGGGGAAAAAAATGTGTCAATTTTTTTTTTTTTTGGTATTTGAAAAAATTCTTCATCTCTCATCTCGAAAGAATTTTGAAAAAAAACCAAAGGAAAAAACCATTTGGCCAGAAATCAAAATAAAAAGTCAATTTTCTCTTTCTCTCTCTCTCTCTCTCTTTCTTCCCAAAATTATAATTAACTGGATAAATTTTCCCTTATCAATTAAGACTTGACTATAAATATGTGTGTGTGCGTATGGAAAAATTTTTAGACATTATTTTTTCAAGCTAGGATGTTAGGAGTGAAAAAAAAATCAACATATCGGATGATAATCCGTGATTTAGGTCGTCGCGTCGTCGATGTGTGTGTGCATGTGTGTGTGTGTGTGTGTGTGTGTTCTGAAAATATCTGGCCGATTCTGTTGACAAGATAAACTTTCTATTTTTTTTTTACTTTCTTTCAGATGATTAACTAGCTCATCGCTGTTCATTTTAAGTTGCCCAATTCAACATTTCTTCTATCACCAAATATATATCAAGATTGGGGCGAGAGTGAGAGAGAGAGAGAGAGGCATATAACGATGAAAAAAAATGTCACAGATCATTTAGTTTAAACGTCGGTTTTTTTTTTCTTTAAAAAAACCACCACCATAATGATGCTAAAAATGGGAATTTTTTTTCTTTCAGAATTTTTTTTCATCAGAATCATTAAGAATCTTTAAATCAGTAAAGAATTGACGGAACTACTCTATGCAAGCATGCATGGTGATGGTGATGGTGATGATAAACAACTATTTTTACTTTTGTTTTTTCTCTTAAATCCGGTAAAAAACTGTAGATACAGAATAAAGAATTCCACAACAACTTTTTTGCTCAAATGTAAATTGTAAAGAATCAAGTATGATGATGATTGTATTTGGGTTTTTTTTTTTCGTTTGTTGTTGTTGTTGTGATTGTTGTTGTTGTTGTTGTTGTTGAATGATAATAATAATAATGATAATGATCAAAACAACAGGAAAACCATGAGAAAA